CCAACTGCCCCCCCCCAAAAAAAAAACCCCCCAAGGCTGCAGATCCCAGTCCTTTATTGGGGGGTCTCCGATCACACCCTAAAAAACAGACAATGGGGGGGGGTTGGGGGGTCAGGGGGGGGTCCAGGGGTGTCCCCAATTTTGGGGTGACCCCCCCCCATCCCCCCCACCCCTCCCCCACTCACGTGACTGCCCGGAAGGCCCTTTTTTCCACGTATTTCACCCGGTACCTCCTCTTGAACCTTGGGGGGGGAAAAAACGGGGAAAATCAGGTCAAAATTCCCCCTGGGGGGGCTCCCAGGAATTTTGGGGGTCCCACCCCCCAAAAATGACCCCTTTTTTTGTTATTTTTTGGTCACTCACTTGGCCCTTTCCCGAGGCTCGATCAGGTTCCTCCTCTGGAGGCTCTTGAAGCGATCGCGGAGCACGTGCCCTTCAGGCTGGGGGGTTTGGGGGGAATTCCCGGGTTTTTTGGGGAATTCCCATTTTTTGGGGTGTCCCCGAATTTTTTAGGAGTTCAGAGACCCCCCCTGAGCCCAAATTTTGGGGTCTCTGAGCCCCCCCCCCCCCCCGGGGTCGATCTCTGAAGCGATCGCGGAGGACGTGCCCTTCAGGCTGGGGGGTTTGGGGGGGAATTCCCAGGTTTTTGGGGGGAATTCCCGGGTTTTTGGGGGAGTTCCCAAGTTTTTTGGGGTGTCCCCGAATTTTTTAGGCGTTCAGAGACCCCCCCTGAGCCCAAATTTTGGGGTCTTCCCGCAGCACGTGCCCTTCAGGCTGGGGGGTTTGGGGGGGAATTCCCAGGTTTTGGGGGGAATTCCCGGGTTTTGGGGGAATTCCCAGGTTTTTGGGGGCATTCCCAAGTTTTTTGGGGTGTCCCCGAATTTTTTAGGAGTTCAGAGACCCCCCTCGAGCCCAAATTTTGGGGTCTTCCCGCAGCACGTGCCCTTCAGGCTGGGGGGTTTGGGGGGAATTCCCAGGTTTTTGGGGGAATTCCCAGGTTTTTGGGGGAATTCCCAGGTTTTTTGGGGTTTCCCCAAATTTTTTAGGAGTTCAGAGACCCCCCCTGAGCCCAAATTTTGGGGTCTCTGAGCCTCCCCCCCCCCCCCGGGGTCGATCTCTGAAGCGATCGCGGAGGACGTGCCCTTCAGGCTGGGGGGTTTGGGGGGGAATTCCCAGGTTTTTGGGGGGAATTCCCAGGTTTTTGGGGGGGAATTCCCAGGTTTTTGGGGGAATTCCCAAGTTTTTTGGGGTGTCCCCAAATTTTTTAGGAGTTCAGAGACCCCCCCTGAGCCCAAATTTTGGGGTCCCACCCCCCCCAAAACCCCATCGTGTTCCTCCTCTTGAAGCGCTCCCGATTTTGGGGGGAATTCCCAGGTTTTTGGGGGAATTCCCGGGTTTTCTGGCCATTCCCACATTTTTTAGGGTGTCCATGAATTTCTCAGGGTCTCAGAGCCCCCCTTTGCCCCCCAATTTTGGGGTCCCACCCCCAAAACCCATCGTGTTCCTCCTCTTGAAGCGCTCCCGATTTCAGGGGGAATTCCCAGATTTTTTGGGGGAATTCCCAAATTTTGGGGGTCCTTCCCAAATTTTCTGGGCATTCCCACATTTTTTGGGGTATCCCCGAATTTCTCAGGGTCTCAGAGCCCACTCAGCCCCCAAATTTTGGGGGTCCCACCCCCCAAAACCCATTGTGTTCCTCCCGATTTCGGGGGGAATTCCCAGGTTTTTTGGGGGAATTCCCGGGTTTTCTGGGGCATTCCCAAATTTTCTGGGCATCCCCACATTTTTTAGGGTATCCCCGAATTTCTCAGGGTCTCAGAGCCCCCCCTTTGCCCCCCAATTTTGGGGGTCCCACCCCCCCAAACCCCATCGTGTTCCTCCCGATTTTGGGGGGAATTCCCAGATTTTTTGGGAGAATTCCCGGGTTTTCTGGGGCATTCCCAAACGTTCTGGGCATTCCCACATTTTTTAGGGTATCCCCGAATTTTTAAGGGTCTCAGAGCCTCCCTTTGCCCCCCAAATTTTGGGGTCCCACCCCCCAAACCCCATCGTGTTCCTCCCGATTTCGGGGGGAATTCCCAGATTTTTTGGGGGAATTCCCGGGTTTTCTGGGGCATTCCCAAATTTTCTGGGCATCCCCACATTTTTTAGGGTATCCCCGAATTTCTCAGGGTCTCAGAGCCCCCCCTTGCCCCCCAAATTTTGGGGGTCCCACCCCCCAAACCCCATCGTGTTCCTCCCGATTTCGGGGGGAATTCCCAGATTTTTTGGGGAATTCCCAGCTTTTCTGACACATTCCCGTATTTTTTAGGGTTTCCCCGAATTTTTCAAGATCCCAGAGCCCCCCCATCCCCCCGATTTGGGGGTCCCAGCCCCCTCAGCCCCCCGAGGTCCCGACCCCACGTCGGTCCCCGGGACCCCCCGAAATCCTTCACATTCCCGGCGTCGGGAATTCTGGGAGCGCAAGGATGAGGCTCATCACGGGGGGCTGGGCACCCCAAAACCGGGGGGTTTCACCCCAAAAAACACCCACCCTGAGGCTCCTCAGGGACTCGGGGAGCTCCTGGCTCAGCTGCACCTCCGGCCCGGCGTCCTCGTACCTGGGACAGGGGGGGGAACACAAAAAAACAACCCAAAATTGCAGGTTTTGGCCCCAAAATTGGCTTTTCTCGCCACAAAATTGGTTTTTCTCACCCTAAAATTGGGGGGTTTGCCTCAAAATTGCATTTTTTGGCCCCAAAATTGGCTTTTCTTACCCCAAAATTGGTTTTTTCTCACCCTAAAATTGGGGGGTTTGCCTCAAAATTGGCTTTTCTCGCCACAAAATTGGTTTTTCTCACCCTAAAATTGCATTTTTTGGCCCCAAAATTGGCTTTTCTCGCCACAAATTTGGTTTTTCTCGACCCCAGAAGTGGATTTTCTTGCCCCAAAATCGGCTTTTCCCGCCCCAAAAGTGGCTTTTCTTGCCCCAAAATCCCCCTTTTCCTTCCCAAACCCCCCAAAAAATCCCTGTTTCCCTTTCCCAATCCCCCCTTTT